ACATGTGGGACTTTGGTCCCCTGACCCCTTCACCCTCACTCTGCTCATTAACACCCCTCTGATTGGGAGAATCCCCCAAAATCCCAGCTAAAAGCTGGTGGGGGGGGAAAAAAAGCAATTAAAAAATGCTCTTAGATCATTTTTGACTCAGGGTGCACAGTCATCAGTTCTATGGGCACATGTGGGACTTGGTCCCCTGACCCCTTCACCCTCACTCTGACTGGGAGAATCCCCCAAAATCCCAGCTAAAAGCTGGTGGGGGAGAAAAAAAAGCAAATAAAAAATGCTCTTGGATCATTTTTGACTCGGGGTGCACAGTCATCAGTTCTATGGGCACATGTGGGACTTGGTCCCCTGACCCCTTCACCCTCACTCTGCTCACTGACACCCCTCTGATTGGGAGAATCCCCCAAAATCCCAGCTAAAAGCTGGTGGGGAAGAAAAAAAAAGCAATTAACAAATTCTCTTAGATCATTTTTGACTCAGGGTGCACAGTCATCAGTTCTATTTCCCAAGAAAACAAGAGCTTCAAGTGCAAAATCATCACAGCTGAATGTTGGGGTTCAGCGTCCAAAATGCTCAGAAACAACTTCTGCTATTTGGTTAAAAAAAACCAGAATAAAAAGGCTGTTTGCAGAAAACTAAGGGAGGGAGCTGAGCAGGCAGAAAGGCTGGTGAGGAGGAGATGAAATGGGTTTTCTCAGCTCTGCTGCAGCACTAAGGACGGGGCAGAATTTGGCCTTCGCTACCCACGACTCCCCGATGGGATCTCGGGAGAACTCTGGGAATTCTGAGTTAGAAATCCAGGGAATCTAGGGAAGCACACACAGAGCAGGCCCAGGGCAGTGCCTCACCTGACAGGGAGGGTCCTGTCCCCTTTCCTCCTGTCCATCTCCCTCTGGGGCACCGGGTACCAGCGGAAGTTGAGTTTCCAGTTGAAGCCCCCGTAGGTCATGTCGGACCCTGCCATGTACTCGAACGTGTCGTCGCTGATCACGTCGATGATGGGACACACCACGGTTTTCCTGGGGGAAAAGGCACCTGGATCTGAGCAGGGGACTGAGAGTGGTGTTTTTAGGGTCAGCAGGGGGGATACTGCATGGATTGCATGGGGGTTGTGTGCGAGGAAAAGGGGGGAGAAAAGGAGGAAAGGGGGGAAAAAAGGTGGAAGGGGGAAAAGCAGGGGGAGGAAGGGGTGGAGGGAAGGGGGGAGGAAAAGGGGAGGAAAGGGGGAGGAAAGGGGGAGGAAAGGGGGAGGAAAGGGGGAGGAAAGGGGGAGGAAAGGGGGAGGAAAGGAGGGGAAGAAAGAAAAAAGGAGGGAAAAAGGGAGAAAAAAGAGGTAAAGGGGAAAAAAAGAAAGACGTGGAAAAAAGGGAGGGGAGAAGGGAAAAAATAAAAGAGAAGAAAAAAGGGTGCAAACTGCAGTGAGCTTTGGGGGTCAGACAGACAAGAAGCTGTCACCGGTAACAAGCAGGGGAAAGCTGCCACTGGGGTGGGAACATCCAGACCTTGGGGGATATTATCACATCTTTATTTAGAAATCAGATTCTGTTTCCAGTATCAGAGAATAATCTGATGGATTAAAACCCAACTCTCCCTTTTGAGCTCAGTGAAGTGTCTGAACCTTGATTTCTGGCACGGGAAGAGCTTGGAGCTGATCCCTGCCCCCGGAGCCAGGGGTCCCCTCACCTGTCCTCCTTGATCCTGGCCAGCAGAGGCTCCAGCCAGCCCAGGGTGCACTCACAGTGGGCATCCAGGAAGGTGATCACCTGGCCCTTGGAAGCGGCGGCCCCGCGGAGCCGCGCCCGGATCAGCCCCGAGCGCTGCTCCATCCGCAGGATCCTCACCGGCACCTCCAGGCTCCTCACGTAGTTCTCCAAGGAGGCCTTCAGGAACTCTGCCAAACAGAATTGGGGAGGGAAACAGAGAGGAAATGTGGGGTTTAGAGAGGTTCAGCAACTGTCAAGACTTCAAAGGACACACAACCCCCCTCCCGGCTTGTTGGAGCATCTCAGGGGGGTTGGAACGAGATAAGGTCCCTTCCAACCCAACCCAACCCAACCCAACCCAACCCATTCTTGGGTTCTCTGATAAAATCACAGGAATTTTAAGTAAATCACAATCAATTATTTCCTGAAATAGACCAGCAAAGAGTGAATGCAAAACAAAGACCCTTTGGCCAATTTGCCAAGGGTTCGATCCAAAAAGGGCCATTTTGGATGAATTTCACTGTTTGAATTCCTCAACTCCTTTTAGGAAAAATTAGAGTTACTTGGCTAAAATCTTCCTCCACCTTCTGGAACAGAGAACCATTAAGCCACTTAATGATCAGGGAAATGCAGGAGAGTAATTAGAGTTCAGTTAATGCTCCATGAGGCAGAACTAAAGGACGGAGTCGCTGCATCCTCTGTCCCTGGAGCAGCTGCAGCTCCAGGTTGTATTTGCCATTAGGCACATTTGGCTACTCCAGGATAATTTATCATCCCATTGATTCCATTTAAAGAACGTTGTGTGATTCCTTTTGCAGGTAATATGAGTTTCACATGGAGAGAGTTTTCTTTCTAAAGCCTGGGTTTAAAAAAAGAACAGGGGAAAAAAAAAACAAGAGAAAAAGAAATGAACCCCAAATAGGAGCAATGCAGGCAGGGGTTGGAATGAGATGGTCTTTAAGGTCCCTTCCAACCCAAACCATCCTGGGATTCCAGGAAATTGGCTCAGTGTGGATATTCAGGGAAATCTGAATCACAGAATGAGGAGGCTGAGAGACAGGGAGAGATGTGGAAAAGGACTGGCCTTTAGAGGAACGTGAAACATGAAACTGCAGGGCAAAAAAAGCACTGATGGAATTCTGGATACAACCTCAGAGCCCCTTCCAGGGCCTAAAGGGGCTCCAGGAGAGCTGGAGAGGGACTGGGGACAAGGCATGGAGGGACAGGACACAGGGAATGGGTTTAAGCTGAATAAGGGTTGGTTTAGGCAGGATATTGGGAAGGAATTCTTGGCTGGGAGGGTGGGGAGGCCCTGGCCCAGGTTGGGCAGAGAAGCTGTGGCTGCCCCTGGATCCCTGGAAGTGTCCAAGCCCCATCCAACCCGCCCTTGGACACTTCCAGGGACGGGGCAGCCACAACTACTGGACATGATAAAAAACTGGAAGCACATTCAAAAAAAACCCAAAAAACCAAGAAACGCCAAAATCTGAGCAGCACCAACCCCCAGCCCCCCTCCACCCCCCTGCTCGGGGGGACCCTCAGGCTGGCACTGAGAGAAGCCCTGGGGTGGGAATTGCTGTGTCACATGAGACAGAGCAAGGTCTGAAGAGATAACTCAGAATGGATGCTCTGAGCAAAAAATAAAGAACCACAAGTCAAGGACTAGTGGAAGATAACACTTTACCAAAGAATGCTGACACACTGACACAAAAGAACATGAAGCAAGAGCACAGGGAAATAAGGAGCACCAAAAATGCTAACACACACACATAATATATGTATATAAATAATATACACACACACACATAGATAGACATAAGGAAGGAACACGGAGAGATGAGGGGAAAGAGAAGGGCCAGAGTCCAGAAACTCCTGCCAAATATATGTTGGAGGCAGCAAAACTAAGGAAAGCTCAGAAGTTTACCTGAGGGAGAAGAGCAAAAAGACGACCCCTGAGGCTGAAGTAACAGGATGTGCCACCGAGATTCTCCCCAAAATGATGACCCAGCCCCTGACTGTGCCCTAACTCCACCTGCCATGAATATTATAACTAGATGTTGTAATAATATGAATATGCATGTAAAGATGATGTAATCTCTTGCAAAAATTGTATAAATAGTTGTCCCAGTTAGAACAGCTGGGACCAGTTCATCACTGGATGGGTGCAACCCTAAACTGTGTATTCCAGAGCCTTCCATGCCATTGCCCAGAAACTGTTCTCAACAGACCATTGACACCCTCTGCCCAGAGCAGCCCTGAGCCCTCAGGCTGTAAACTGGGTGTTCAGAGGCCTGAGAGACAGGAGGGTGCTCCTGTCCTCACACCCAGGGTGGAACTGTGAGACAGGAGGGTGCTCCTGTCCTCACACCCACTGTGGAACTGTGAGACAGGAGGGTGCTCCTGTCCTCACACCCAGTGTGGAACTGTGAGACAGGAGGGTGCTCCTGTCCTCACACCCACTGTGGAACTCCCCACCCTGAGGGAGGGACTGGGCATTCCTGCCTGAACTGGAGGATAGATAATCCTGGAGTCTTGGGACTTTTTTAACCACTCGTGGGATCCAGAGGAAGACTGCAGAGCACCACTCTCAACCAGACTGCAACCACCACTTCTCACCAACAGGTTTTTTCCCCTCTCCCTTTACTTTGGGCTCAGGGGGCCCAAGGAACCCCACTCTGTTCCTGCCCCAGGGTGCTGGGTTATACATTTGGGTTTTGAGGGTTAAGACCAACTGTTTGTCTGTATAATCGTACTTATTGTATTATTTCATTAAATTGTTATTCTGACTTATAATCTCTCCTTTGAGTTGGGTTCATTTCCCCTGCTGGTTTGCCTTTAAACCAGCACAACAGTCCAACTTCTCACTGATTACTTGGGAACTCTTTGCCCAGCGCGAGCTGGGAGTTCATAAATCCCTCGCTGCTTAAAGACTAAAGATCATCTCTGAGCAGTTCCTCTGAGCCTTTTGGGGCACGAAATGGGCATCACCCCCAGCCCCACCTCTCTCGCTGGCGTCGTCCACCAGGATGATCTCGCGGAGCAGGCGCGGGGGCGAGCGGTTAATGACGCTGGCCACGGTGCGCAGCAGGGTGCTCCACGCCTCGTTGTGGAACACGATCACCACGCTGGTGTTGGGCAGCTCCTCGGGGTACACCTTCGTCTTGCACCTGCCCCCAAGCAGAGAAAAAACACAGGGAAAGGGAGGTCAGTGTTTAAAATATCCCCAAAGGGCTCTACTGATGAGTGCCAGGTCCTGCACTTTGGCCACAACAACCCCCGGCAGCTCCAGGCTGGGACAGAGTGGCTGGAGAGCAGCCAGGCAGGAAGGGAGCTGGGAGTGGGGATGGACAGGGAGCTGAACAGGAGCCAGAGTGTGCCCAGGGGGACAAGAAGGCCAATGGATCCTGGCCTGGCTCAGGAACAGTGTGGCCAACAGGGCCACGGAAGTGATTCCTGCCCTGGACTCAGCGCTGGTGAGGCCACCCCTGGAGTGCTGTGTCCAGCTCTGGGCCCTCAGCTCAGGAAGGACATTGAGGTCCTGGAGCAGGTCCAGAGAAGAGCAACAAGGCTGGGGAAGGGACTGGAGCACAAGTGCTGTGAGGAGAGGCTGAGGGAGCTGGGGGGGCTCAGCCTGGAGAAGAGGAGGCTCAGGGGAGACCTCCTCACTCTCTGCAACTCCCTGACAGGAGGGGGGAGCCAGGGGGGGGTTGGTCTCTTTTCCCAGGCAACTCTCAGCAAGACAAGAGGGCTCAGGGTCTTCAGCTGTGCCAGGGGAGGTTTAGGTTGGAGATTAGGAAGAATTTCTTTGCAGAGAGGGTGATCAGCCATTGGAATGGGCTGCCCAGGGAAGGGGTGGATTCTCCATCCCTGGGGTGTTTAAGATCACACTGGATGTGGCATCAGTGCCATGGGCTGGGAACCTCAGTGGTGCTGGATCAAGGGTTGGACTTGATGATCTCAGAGGTCCCTTCCAACCCAGCTGATTCTATGATTCTCTGAAAAGGGGCTGGGAAGCAGCCACGAAACCACCCCAGGGAAACCCGCCGTGTCCGGGTGGTTGAAGGGGATGGAGAGGAAGGGAAGAGGCAAACTGGAGACACAGGCACTGAAACATGACTTGCTGTGAGGGGAGGCTGCTCTGCATAGGAAGGTTTGGCTTTTAGCATCCCTCTGGAGGAAGTGAGACATCGATTAGTTTTCACTGAACTGCCTCACAACAATTTTCCCGAGTCTCTGATTCACTTCAGAAGTTAAACAGCAAAGAACACAAGCACACAGTGGATGTACCACCACTATTCCTGCTCTCAAAGCCATTCCCATTGGCAAGAAGTGCGATGGAAAACAAGCACAGCCCCAGCCAAAGGTGACTGATCTGTACCCTGAGCTCCACCTCACTCCTGGCTGGGCACAGTCACGCTCTGCCCCTGGTGCTCATCCACCTCTTTGGGCTTGACACCTCTTTCCCTGAAGGAATTTCCCCAATATCCAACCTGAGCCTCCCCTGGCACAGCCTGAGGCCGTTCCCTCTCCTCCTGTCCCTTGTTCCCTGGGAGCAGAGCCCGACCCCCCCCGGCTCCCCCCTCCTGTCAGGGGGTTGCAGAGCCAGAAGGTCCCCCCTGAGCCTCCTTTGCTCCAGGCTGAGCCCCCCCAGCTCCCTCAGCCCCTTCCCAGCTCCATGACACAGCTTCCCACAGCCTGTTCTCCCACTGCACCTCCGAGCCCCTGCCCAGGGACTGTGAGCACACGACAGATAAAACCCTTCACTGAAACCAAACAGTGACTCACAAACTCATTTTTCCACTTCAGAAATCCAGCCCGTGCTGAAGAATTGATGGATCAGTCTCCTGCTCCTCACAGGTTCCCAGGCACTCGGGTTCCCTCCCTCCCCCCTGCACTGTACAATACCCACTGATTGTTGTTAACTCACACAGCACTGGAATCCCTGTCCCACAATCCCTGTTTTCCTTCCTGCAGCCACCAGCTGCCACCTTATGAATACACATGGAGCCAAGGCAGCTGTTTGAGTGGCAGAAAAACATGTTTCCCCATGATCAGTGACGTGGAAACAGAGCAAAACTCTCCCTGTTCCCCGCTCTTCCCACGGGATGTGGGCAAATTGTGGGAGCAGCAGGGTTTGCACCAGGATTTTCACAGAACTGCAGAATTTCAGACTGGTTTGGGTGGGAAGGGACCTTAAAGCTCATCCAGTGCCATGGACAGGGACACATTCCACCAGCCCAGGTTGCTCCAACCCCACCCAACCTGGCCTTGGACACTTCCAGGGATCCAGGGGCAGCCACAGCTTCTCTGCCCAACCTGGGCCAGGGCCTCCCCACCCTCCCAGACAGGAATTCCTTCCCAGTATCCCATCTCTCCCTGCCCTCTGGCAGTGGGAAGCCATTCCCTGTGTCCTGTCCCTCCAGGCCCTGCTAAAACATGATCTCATACAGGGAATATTTCCAATTTTTGAGAGAGCCCTGCCCCTTGCAATTCCCAGTGACTCCTGGGGCAGGAAGGACTCTGCTCCAGAGGGGCTGGAGCAGCCTGGGGGGACACAGGGACTGGCCTGGGATGAGCTGCTGAGGAAAAGCAGGGCTGATATAACACTGGGCTCCCTTAAATGTGTCGGTCCCACGTGTTTTCCTGAAGTGCATCCCATGGGACAAATGGATTAGAGGTGAACACCACAAAATAAACCCATTTACCCTCCTTTATCTGGGCTGAGTTGCAGGAACAGCAAATAGTGGTCTCACCTAAAAAATCAAGGCAGGGCTTCCTGCCCTGAACAGGGATTTGGGGCATGGGAAGATTTTCATGGATGTTTCACCAGGGAAATTCTCACAGACATTGGTTTCCAGTCCTGAACTGCTCCTTCCTGAGCCTTTCCCCCCACCCTGGGACCACCCCTCAAGGGTTCTGCTTCACAGAATCCAACACTAAACTGTAGCACCACATTCAAGCCACGATTCCTCTCTAAAAAAATCACATTTCTGCTCAGAAGTGGATGCTCCTAAGCACAAATACTCACACAGGAGCTACTTTCAACCTACATTTCAGTAAGAAAATCCAATTATAATGGTCTAGCAGTTTGGAGACAAGCACTTGCAACCTTACTCAGCCAGAAAAGATTGAAGATGGATTTCTTCCCTTGCTGCAGAAAATACTTAGAAATAAAATTAAGCATTTCTCTGTTGACTTAAACTGGTTCAAGGTTTAATCAATAGCTACTTCAAATTAGAGCTGGCACTGATTAAAATCTTTAAGTTGGCCATTCCCAACAGGACTCAGGCAGTCAGGGGACATTCTTTGGGAGACAACTCTGGACATAATGGGAGGCAAATTAAGATGGAGACACCCATCTGATTTATCAGCTTTACACCCCAAAAACACCCATCTGATTTATCACCTTCACACTCCAAAAACACCCATCTGATTTATCATCTTCACCCCAGTAACACCCATCTGATTTATCAGCTTTACACCCCGATAACACCCATCTGATTTATCACCTTTACACCCCAATAACACCCATCTGATTTATCACTTTCACACCTCTCCCAGCTCAAGATCTCCCCTGATACAGCAGCACCCACAAACTTCATCACAAACTTCCCACGTCCAGCAAGAGTATTTTTTTTTTATTTTCTATTTTTTTTAATTTAATTTCCCACCCCAAACCCTGCAGCAGAACCTTGCACTGATAAAGGGAAAAGCACAGTGAGTGCAAACCTGTGCCCGTGTCAATAAAAATCAGTCTCTGTGTCACACACTAAACATATTAAACCATAAAATCATATTCTTCCTTAAGAGCAAAGCATTATAAATTGGCTTTTGGAACAATTTGCTACTCCCTAAAGACAGAGGATGTACAGAAAGCTTCTGTCTGAGGAGGAAAATGGGGAAATTATTTTTCTCAATGCTTTCTGTCCTTTCACCAGAGAAGACAAAAACTTCTTTTCATCAGGAAAATGCATTTAGACACATTTCCCTCAGTGTTAAACAGCCCTTCTCCCTCCAGCTGAGCACAACCAGTCACTGAGGTGAATATTCCTGTTCTCCTTCTGTTCTTTGCGGGCATTTGGGAATAAAATCCAGGCAAAAAAAGCATTAACTTCATTTAAAATCTCATGGGAGCCTGAAGGATTTCACTTCAATCAAAGCATAATAAGCAAGACTTGAGCCAAGTGACAATTCAGTTCAAAAAGCCAAAGTAATGGGACATTTTAGAAGACCTGATCACTTGTGAATAAGTGATTAATTTTGCTTTTATTTATCACAATTTTTATTGGCTATAAGCTGCTGTACCTATAAATCAGGCCAGGGGATTTACAGAATAGGGAAACAGGGCAAAAAATGAATTGGAAAAAGATAAAATCCAATAAACACAAGGTTTCTGTAACAGTTATGTGGGGGGAAAAAAAATCCCACCTCTAAAAATTTACTTCCAAAAGTACAAAGTTTGGATAACACTCCACACACAAAATTCCAGTTGGAGATTCTCTGGAATTCTCTGGAATTCTCTGTTATGCAGAAGTTTTCCTCTGTATATTCCACTGAAAATAATTCAATGGACTTGGTGAAACTCCCCCTTGAGCTCTGCCACAGCCCCCAAGTCACCACACAAACTTCAGGCTTCCCTCACAAATTATAAGTTGCTAAAATCAAAAATCAAAATAAAAAATCCTCCAAGCCCCCTTCAGCTTTTAAGTCATCACAAAAATCCTTGATAGGTGTTCCAGAAAATGTCTAGGGACAAAAGGAAAGGAAAGCCACATCCTGCAGGGAGATTTTGGCACTGGCAGCATTTTCTCTTTATCAGCTGTAAAATGTCATTTTTTAACGGCTGACAGCAGAAATTTGTAAAGCAGACATTGATGGTTTTATCTTTTCAAAACCTCGGGAATAAAGTTTTCCCTGAAGATCAAAATATTTAAATTATCCCAGGTGATAAGAGGCACAAGAGGGTGTTTTGTTAGGGAGAAGTGAAGGTTCCAGGGAGAGCTGAGAGCCTAAAGGGGCTCCAGGAGAGCTGGAGAGGGACTGGGGACAAGGGAGGGAGGGACAGGGAAGGGAAGGGAAGGGGAGAGGGTGAGAGAAGAGAAGAGAAGAGAAGAGAAGAGAAGAGAAGAGAAGAGAAG